AAACTTGCGACATCACTACTCTCTTGCGAGTGCCGCGCAATGGAATAAGAAAATAAAATACAACTGCAAGATTTTTTGAATTCGCTTAGCAAAGCAATCTTCGAAAAAAGATACTCCATTCCTTTACAATCGGTTACGAATGCAGCCTGAGCTATCAACAAATTGTCAGAAACCAACTGATGCAGCTTTAGCTATGAACGAGTGCCGTGACGAGACGGTAGCTCATCAGAGTATGCTAACTGGCTGAAATGGAACTCACTGAAACATAGCCAAGGAGTTTTTGAGTTTGCTGATTACTGGCAGCTTTACGAAGAGTAGACAAAATATGCTGCAACCAAGTTCCACCCATGATGTCGCGACAGGGCTCGTAGTCCACGCAAGTGAGTGTGTGTTTCTCCACAAATGACATGATTGCCTGTTTCAATGCCTGCTTATCGAATCCAGCCAACTTCGGGTGCTCGATCCACTCCGGAAGGCTCGAGTTATACAGATCCTGTAAAGTGAATAACGCGATTTTGAACTGCGAAGACTTTGAGCAGGACAGGACATGCTCCAGCCTCTGCAACACGAGGATCGTATTAAGGAAGAACAAGGAATTAACGCTGAAATTTAAGTGCGGAGAAAATTCGCAACACTGAGACCGTGAGGAAATACCAGTGGTATTACTAAAAAAAAAAATAAGATCACTGATGCTTGCACCATCATCTCCTGTTTTTTAGTGCACTGTTGGAACCAAATTTAGCGCAGCATCGGCTGGAAAATGATGCCGGCATACAGCCGTATCGCATTAATATCACCGGCACCGAAATTTCTGGATCTGCTTTCCTCTCCGGAAGAAATTCTGATACCTTTCCAGCACACAACTGACAGTGGCTTCTCGGCTGCACACACTCGAATAAAACCCAGGCTGGAATGCAACAGTTTGCCGATGCAGTCAGGCGTTTTTGCGCTAAACTTAAGCAATCAGGTCATTAAATGCGATGGGGTTATTGTATTGCAATTACCAAATATATTCATTAACGTAAACCATCGTACAGTCCGCGTTAGGAAAATGAACAATTTTCGTTTAACGATCGTTCTCTGAAAATGAACCAGCTGTTCAGTGAGCAATTTTCTCGCCAAAATATTTACACGCTCATATGTGAGAACCACGAAGTGGCACTTGGCCGGAGAAGTCACTGGCAAAATTTCGACGTCAAAGCTTGCTTGGTTACCGAATTGAAATACTCGAACAGACAGGCACACACACCATGGGTCGTCACAATGTGCGTTTTGTATTCAAAATATCTGCATTAGTACACACAGAAACGCATGGAAACTAAATCAGTAGCTTAGCACAGTGAAACAGAAATGCAGTTCAACGATGGTAAAAATTTACAATTTCGGCGATATTATCAGCCAAATCGGTTGCGCTTTCAATTGATGCATTCCAACCCGTATGTTTCGAGATGTAATCGAGCAATTGTGCATTTGCTTCCGTTATATGTAACAGTTCCGGTAGATTGTCATCGTTGATCGGTTGCCAGGCTAAATCTTATTGCTTCAAGCAGTAGTTGCTTGAAGATGGTGCTGGGGAAGCGAGCCCCTTTTCCCAGGATAACTTTTCTATTTTTGCAGACGTAAACAAGGCATGCGTTTCTTGAAAAACCCGATATTTGCGGCCCACCAGCCTCACCTGACTTATCGCGTCCAACGGAACGGTTTTTAGATTGGGAAGCTAAATATTTGAGAGCAAAGTGCCAGCGGCGCGGAAGTAAAAAGGCCCGAAATGGAATCCCGCGCAGCCGAGTTTGTGGGACGGAGAAATCGACGCAGCACTTCTGGAGGGCAGAGAGGGCAACCTTGCTGACTGGTGGTGCAGTTCTTCACCGAATACATCCTCAGCATTGGATCGTCGATGGTGTACGGTACCGGCGACCACTCCAGCGCATGATTCCACTCAGCAAATGTATCGGGCGGATAAAAACCAGCCATTATCACCTGAAAGAGCGGCAACTGAACGGAGCTCAAGGGGCACAGTGAGCGAGAAGGAAACCTGTAGCGTCATCTGGCAGCGATTGGCGCTGGACGTGTAGAAGGAAGCTTCATGCCGGACGTAGTTGTTGCTGACCAGTGCACCGACGAACTCGCGCAGCTCCTTGCCAAAGCCGAATCCCTGCCGCTTGCCGAACTGCAAACTGTCTGTTACTACGGAGCAGCAAACGGCCTCCACCCTCCCGCCGCCGCTTCTCCTGCTCGGTGGTACCTGGGTGAGCTCGTAGTCGCCTTCGAAGCCCCAGATACGTGGATTTTCGTTGAGGAATCTTCCGGGATGACGGTTGCCATGCCGGCTGCCGAATATCACCAGCTTCGTGTTCTCGTCAACTGCCCTGCTCTCACGTGCGGCGCTGCTCGAGGCTGCTGCTGCCACAACTAGCCACCATACCAGCATGTACCGCCGATCCTGAAGCACAGAGCCGCTGTGTGCCCGCGCGCGCCCCCAACGAACGGCGCCAGCACCACAACGAACAGCAAATGCAACGCAGTGATGCCCCTCGGCCGGCCACTGGTACTTGCCGGGGACCCGCCCCGCCACCCGAGCCACGGTGCGCCAGACAGGCACCCTGCAATGGCGCACGCAGTATCGGCATTTCGGACTGGCTCCTGCTGCTGCTGCCGCCGTCGCTGCCGCTGCTGGCAGCGCTTGTCGCCTCTCCATCGCTTTCGTTCGTTCCCGCACCGCCTCCGTCACTTGTTCCACAAATGTATATGTACTGGTTTGCTTTCCTGATATGTCTGTGCCTGTGTGTATGTGTGTGTGTCCATGCGTGCACACCTGTGTTGGGAAGGAACTGTTCGCTTTCCATTCCGGGAATGAATGCTTGAGGGCCGTTTTATAACTGATAGGTGTGACTGGGGGTGGTTGATAGCGCCTTATGGGTCTGGGGTGCGAGAGATCGGCTTAGGTGTGCAGAGCTCGGCCTGTACGCCGACTATCCATCCGATGTCAGGGAAACGGACAACTGCGTCACGTACTGTTCGCTCGGCCTAGCTGACCTCTCGGCGGAAGCTGACGGGGGAGCGGGTGCGGCATGAAAATGCGCCATAAAGCTGATCACAGTGGAACTTCTCATCCGGACTCGAATATTTGCGTGCTGTCGAGAGCGATTCCTTCCGTTTCTCGATGTCTGATAAAATAATTGGTCAACGCACGGGCTGCCCATGCGAAGATGCGTTTTTTGCAGAGTTCCCCGCAGTTTTTGTCGCTACC